ATGAAAGCTCCACCCACCCTGAGAGCTTCTTCGAAACTGAATTTCACCCTTTGGCTGAAAGAGGTTCAGTCCTCCTGAGATACAGGGGCATAGCAACCAATTGTGACACACCAGTAATGCACAAATGGACCCCCCCCCCCCCCAGTTTCCCATGGCTGAAGTGGATGCCTGGTCAACAGCTGTTAGATAACCCATGCCTAAACTATACTCTGCATTTCCTTCTAGCTGCAGTTGAATTGTAGTTTCCTTTTATAGTTTCTCATGGTTGATTTGTGGTCTGAGGTGTCATTCCTTACCCCTGACCTCCTGAAGTATTAGCACAGCTATTGCATTATAGCCCCAAACAGTCTCACAAATTGTTGCAACTGTTGCTAACAGCTGTCCCAGGCAGTTAGCCCATAACAAAGCCTGAAACTAAAGAGTACTTCATAACTGCCAGCCTCACAAGACTCTTAAGTACCGCAGGACAATACTGAAAGAGTTTCTTGTTATTGTATCTGCCATGTTGTCTGCTCTTCCCATAGGGGATCTTGTTTCCTGTTTCCTGGAAATATGATCCTGGAAATAACCATGATATTTCAGAAAGATGGCCACTCTTCTCAGTCTTAGAAACACTGTGTCAGGATTAAATATAATTTAGTTTACCACCTTCCCTAAAATGGAATAAGAGCTCTCAGTGTGACTTCACAATGAAAGGATGCCTTTCTTTCAGACATGAAGTAGGATTCAGGATAGTGTGTGTGTGTGTGTGTGTGTGTTGGGGGGTGTTCTTTGTGATGACTCATTCTTTCCACTCACAGTGGCGGCATCCAATCTGATAGGATGCCTTCCTTGAAGTCAATCTGCTTCCTCTTTCCTCCTAACTCCTCTTTTATTTTCCTTACCCCTTCCTTTTGCCTCCCCTAATAATTACACACATCTCTGGAACAGTGGAGGAGGCCATCATCCATGTTGAGATCTGCCCTTCCACAGTAATGGCAAAACCGTCCTGCCCTGGAAAGTCCCGATGCAGTCTCACTTTGGAGCATACAGTTTTGTTGGCCTTGGGGCCTAGCCATCCCTTTGCAACCTTTCCATCTGAGGCAGGATTAGGCCCTGTGAAGGTGCGGTGTGTTTAGCTGATGTTGTTCACTGACAAGTGACAACTGACATGCTATTTCAAACCAAGCAGTAGAGACCTAGAGTTGAAACAGCAGAAATGCAGTGAGAAGTCAAATATACACAGGCCCAGGTGGTATTGCAGGAAGGGTGAAGCCGGCAGAAAAAGTTAGAGGGAACCCCAGTGATTTAGGAGGTGGGGAAGGAACTTAAGACTTTTGGCTCCATTATTTCCTACCCTCTGATGGGGCTCACCTAAAGTATTGCCAGTTCTCCTCCAGGTGATGGAAGGCTGCCAGCAGTGGGCATGGTGCACTTCCTGGCCTTGCCTACTGTAACAGGGTGTTGTGCCCCATTACCCCTTGGCTTTACCTCCTTTACCCCGATGAGTATTCAGTGGCTTCCTGGCCTTTTTCCATTTTTTCCCTCTTCTAAGCAGTTGAATTTTTTTCCTTATGCTTAGTTATTGTCAGGAAGAGCATTCCGCTAAAAGAGGTGAGTATCCAAGCCCCCACCCTTTGCCTTCATCCTCGCCCACCACTGAATGCACCCCCCGCAAAGACCTTCTTCAAAGTATAATTTGACCCTTAGACTGAAGCAAGTTTGACACTCCTGCACTATAATATATCTTATTTATATTTTGGTTAGTTTCACCTGGACTGCAGTCAAAGGTCTATCCTTTCTCTCTACTGATTGCTAATGAAGAACCTTGCTTCAATAGTGTGTGAGTAGCCCATGAGGCTATAGCTTATGAGGAGATCGTAGAAAGGAGCTTTGGATCCCTGCCAAAGGAAAGACAACCAAACATTCTGAAGGCATATCTATTTCACTCCTGCCAGTCATTTGTTCTGTCTTTCCTCCTGCACTGCAAGGTACAAAGAGCATCAGATGTGGGAGGAAGAGAAGCAGGTTGCATTTGGGAAGCCAGTGAGGGCTGACTTCCACCAGAAAATCAGCCCATAGGATTTAGGATAAAAAGATTTAATCTGCCTCTGTCAGATATTAGAATATGGCCTTTATGACCTGTGAATTCTGCTTGTCAGGGCAGGAGCATTTCCTTTTGTTAGAAACCCGTTCTGTGGAGTTGAAGTTTGTTTTACTCTCCAAACGGAAACACCTCCTTTTTAGAAAGTCAGGTGGAATCCAGAGTGCCCCCCTCCCCTAACTAATAGGTTGGGATCTATTTTGCATGACCGCTTCTGGAAAGGAAAGCTGAGCACACATCAGAATTTACTGCAATATATGTCAACATGTACTAATATGAAACTTTCTGCTGAGTGTCAGAGCAAGGCCAGTTACTGGTATGGACGGAGGAGTTGCCTTCAAATTAAGGAGAGAGGAAAGGGAGGTGAGCCTGTGGAGCTGTCTGCCCACTTCATTCCTTGCCCATATCCATACATGATTGGCTGTAGGGTTCAGGGTTAGCGCCTTTTCTCAGGTAGGACCATTCAGCCTTCTGTTGCTTCCTGCTGAGCCTGGGGCTCCCTTTCACTTCTCTAGCTCATCTCCCAAGCAGCATTCTGTCCCCTTCCTTCTGGTGACTGGGAACAGTGGTGTCATAGCGGTAGGTACCACTTCCTGCACTTTTGAGGCTATAAAAGAAGAGTGCAAAACCCCTTTCAGCCCAAGGGCTGTATTCCACCCACATCCTGGGGTGGGAGACATTACCAGTGGCAAGTGGGACAGAACAGAGAGACTGGGGCTGAATTACAAAAAGGAGCACATTTTAGCTCAAAGTTCTCGGTGCCAGTAACTAAATCTTTAAAGAGACAAGAGATAAAAACAGGGCTCTGTGTAAATAGTGTCTTGGGTTCTTTCCCCCACCTACAAAACAGCCTTCCCCAGTTTGGTGTCCCTCCATTGGGTTGAACTACAACTCCCATACTCTGCCTGGGGTTTATCGGAACTGTAGTCAAACACCTGCAAAGCAAAGGTTGGGGAAGGCTGTTCTGAAATCTGCTTTCTCTTTGCCCTTGCCATTTCTGTGGATGGAGAAAGAGGAGCACAAACTACACAAAAGCTTACCATGCTTTTTTTAAAAGTAAATTTTATTATTATTTTCTACAAACTAAAAAAGAAACTAAAAAAAAAAAATCAATCATCAGAGACATCAGACCTGCTGGGTCAGCCCCCTATTTTTTTTTTGTAGCAATCCATAGACATATTCAAATCTACGCATAGTCCCATTTCTCCAAAGGTAAAGGTTTCCCCTTGATGTGAAGTCCAGTCATGCCTGACTCTAGGGGGCGGTGCTCATCTCCGTTTCCTAGTCGAGGGAGCCAGCGTTTGTCTGCAGACAGTCTAAACACCAAAGTGCACGGAACGCTGTTACCTGCCCACCAAAGCGGTACCTTTTTATCTACTTGCATTTGCATGCTTTCGAACTGCAAGGTTGGCAGGAGCTGGGATGGAGCAACGGGAACTCACCCCGCTGTGCAGATTCAAGCCGGCGACCTTTTGATCTACCAGCCCAGCAGCACAGTGGTTTAAACTACTGCGCCACCTGCAGTCCCGTTTCTCTAGCCAATAATAAAAAGAGTTCCAAGTTTGATAGAAGTATGTATTCTCTTTCTCCTTCAGAGACAAAGTCAGCCTGTCCATTTCAGCACAGTCTAGAATCTTTTTTAAAATCAGTTCATCAGTGGGTGGTTCTTCATTTCTCCAATGTTGGGCAAATACAATCCCTGCTGCAGTAATTACACATAGAATCAAATACATTGCTTGTTTATCAACATCATCAGGAACAATGCCTAGTAAGAAGACTTAAGGTTTAAATATTAAAGATTTTTGTAACATTTCCTCAAGCCATTTATGTATTTTAGCCCAATATTTTTTTGCCTTATCACAAGTCCACCAGATATGATAAAAGGTACCCGGTTTATGTTTGCATTTCCACCATCCATTTGACATATTTGGAAATATCTTTGCTAATCTATTTGTTGATAAGTACCATCTATGAAACATTTTATAAAGATTTTCTTTATATAAGGTTGCTAGAGTTACCTTGATATTTCTTTCCCACAACTTTTGCCATTTCTGTAACTCAATATTATATCCCAAATTTTGTGCCCATGTTTTCATAGTTTCCTTAACTTGTTCATCTTCCATTCTCATATCCAAAAGAAAATTATACAGCCTTTTAATCATTTTTTCATCTGATTTTAAGATCACTTGGTCAAATGTTGTTAACTCCTTATAAAACCCCCACATTTTATCATCTTTTATCTTGATTGTATTTGAACCTTATGCTACCAAGATATATTAATACCCTGCTCTTGTAATTCTTGGTCCTCCATCATTATCCAAAATATCATCATATCTCACAATCATGTCAAAAACAAAAGCTTACCATGTTGTAGCCATAATCACAGAGTCGTCTGTCTGATGGAGTGTGGAGCCCATTGTTCCTGTGCAGGCAGGTTCTTGAATTTCTGACTATGGTGGTTGCAGCAAGATGGGTCTGATGTTATGGATGGCCATTTCTATGCAGTTACACCATGGTTTGTTTTGTCTTGGAAGGATCAGCAGGTGGTTAATGGCTTTCTTTTGAAGATACCACATGGCCTCAACTTGGATGTGTTCTGATGGCTTGCAAAGAATTATGTTTTGGATGCGTGTGAAATGCTCTCAGGAGATATGAATACAGCAGCCTATATAATAGCTTTCTCCAGATGTGCATCCCTCAGAGGTGTTGGACTACAGCCTCCGTTATCTTCAGCCAGCGGGCCATTGGTTTTACCGACTGGGAATGACCAGAGTTGTAGTCTAACACATCTGGAAGGTGCCAGGTTGAGGATGTCTGCTGAGTCAGGACAGGTGTTTCAGGTGGAGATGAGCTGTGATGCAAAATATGGTCCAACTATGCAATGTCTTTAACAGATGTCTTTTTTGTCACTTAACAGAAACAGGACCAGGATGATGCCGATGATGACCTGGAAATTGCCATTGATAACACTGCTTTCATGGATGAATTCTTTGCAGAGGTGAGGAGAGTTGTGGAGAGCAAGCAAAGGAAACTAGGTCCAAGAAGTGAAGAGTGGTGATATACTGAATTTTCATGGGACCTGATGTTTTTGCTGTGAAAGTCTTGGTTCTGAGGGGGCTGCAGAAATATTCCATCTTCCTGCATACTCTCCCTGCCTTTCATGGCAATTTAACCCTGCCACCCCAAAGCACACACACCATTTCCTAGAGGAGGGCATATGTTCCAGTAAGCCAGGCAACCAGACCAATTCCCCTTGCCTTGCCACTTTGCTCAGAAAAAAGAGAGCACAAACTTGCACAAAGAAAATGCAAGCAGACAATAAGAGATGAAAAAAAATTAAAAATGGAGGAGCACATTACTAGCATCAAGGCCAACACTAAATAATTATTTAAATATTTCTGAAGCATGAAACCAGCTAGGGAGGCAAATGGGCTATCAGATGACAGTGAAGTTAAAGGAGTACTAAAAAAAGGATAAGGTGATTGCAGAGAAACTGAATGAATTCTTTTAATGCAGAAGATATAAGATGGATACCGGTGTCTGAACTAATGTTTTCAGGAAGGGAGTCTGAAGAACAGTAGGAAGGAAATGCAAATGACAAACTGAAACTGGGCCCAAATGGTATTTATCTGAAAGCTCTGAAAGAATTATAATGTGAGTTTGCTGTTCTTCTAACAAACCTATGGAACATGTTCCTAACACCAGCTTATGTGCCAGAAGACTGAAGAATAGCCAATATAACACCAGTTTTTAAAAAGGGATCCAGAGGGGAACTTAGATTAGTCTGGCAAGACTTGTTCTTGATAAATCCATGCTGGCTTATAGTAATTACTCCACTGTTGATCCTGCTTCACCTGGACTCCTTCAAGCTACATGACAAGATGTGGTTCTTTACTTCTAATAGAAACAATTCTCATGCAGTTACTTACATTACTGGAAAAAGTGTGAGCACATCAACATAAAGCTAGTATTAGCATAGCATTATTGGTTTATTTTCATTTGTAAGGAAAGCACCCATACTTGAGGATGCTGCTAAGGTTGGAAAGGTAGACAGTAGATGGCTTTTGGCAGGAGTACTGAGCGACTGGGAAATGCTTGGTATGCATGAAGGTGTTCAAGAAATCCTTGCCTTTTTCTATGAAGTGTTATGTTTGTGATAATTTTCTGATTTTTTTTGTCTAATACTCGTTGCTGCTGATTTTTCTGGTGCTCCTACAATTATACCAAGTGATGCAGCTATTGTTAAACAGGTTTGCACGAATTAGCTTAATATACAGTGAGGTCTGAGCAAATGAGCTTAGTGCTAACTTGGGGGAAGCTGGCTCTCCTCCTCTCCTCTCCTCCATATCCGTCATGGTGGGTGCCTCCTCATCTTCTTCCTCTTCTTTTGCAGATTGAGGAGACTCGGCAGAATATTGACAAAATTTCAGAGAATGTAGAAGAGGCAAAGAAGCTGTACAGCATCATCCTGTCTGCCCCTATCCCAGAACCAAGTGAGTAAGACCCAAGCCCCTCGACAGCAGTGCTTTTATGGGCTTCTGTTATGTGCAGAACCCAGATTCAATCCTGCTGCTGCAGGTCTTTCCTGAGTGAAAGCTTTGCTAGGTAGGAAATCTCGTTTCTCTCCCTGCCTTTTCATCCCTTGCCTGGCTATCAGCCAAAGGGCCTGGTACTAGGACGAGTGGGGGAGTCAGCCTTTGAAGAGGAACAGGCCCTGGGAATCTTTTCATGGCTTCCCACTCAGATGCGATTCTTTCTGCCCCTGGATCTGAATGGGTGCTTCCAGACTGCCTGGAAAATGCTGTGTGAAGAGATCTGAAAAGAGGAGGCTGAACTGCCATCCACATACCACCCAGTGCTCACATCTTTGCTTGTGTTCTGCAGAGACCAAGGATGATCTGGAACAGCTCACGACAGATATCAAGAAAATGGCTAACACCGTCCGAAACAAACTTAAGAGTAAGAATTATATTCCTTGGGCAGACCACATTCAGGCATTGTTACTTGTGTTGCTTAGATTTTATTCAGGTCGCTTCTGCATTTTGCACAGTAGGTACAATTCCTGCGGATACATGGTGTATCCTGTAGCAAATGCACAAAGTGTGAATGACACATGCCATTGTCTTTAAGCACACATATGCATATATATTGGAGAGCTCTGAGCTGATCTCAGTTCAAAGCAGACTCTCCCAGTTCCCTTTTTGTAGCCTCCTTCAGGACAACTCAGTTCCAGCCACCAAAATAATTATTTCAAGATTTAAAAGCAAAATATGGTGTGTTGTTTAATTAGAAGTCTCGTCCGATCTAATGCACATTTGTAGATTCCCCTGGCTTCCCAAAAATGTTCTGATTGCCATTGTGAACCCACATTCCATTGCTCCTAGTTTTGAAGTGCTATCTGTTTAGTTTACTTAAATCTAAGATTTTGAGATCTGCTAGCTTTTTTTTATGAGAGGTCATATTTGCCTCCCCTTGCTCCAGTGAGGCATGCTGCAGAGCTAAGCATACATTTTTATAACAGATAGAGCTCTGAACTGAAGTGGATTTTTATTTTTTTCATCTGTGCGCACGTGTGCATGCACATACACAGAGATTCTATCAATAGGGCCTTTTATGCGTGCGCAAGCACTAACGGTGCAGTCCTATGCAAAGTTTAGACATAAAAATGGCCTGCAACCTTCCCAGCTGAGGGTTATGGGCCTCTTCTCTGTCTAAATTTGCATTGGGTTACACCCTAGGAATCTGAACTGCACAGGAACAGCTTTCAGCCCTTGACATGCACAACTCCTTTCCTTGAATGTGCAGGCATGGAGCGGAACATTGAGCAAGATGAAGTTCGGTCCTCAGCTGACCTGCGGATACGGAAGTCCCAGGTAAGCAGGGCTTAGTAGCGGGACCTCTTGGCCTCCCATTAGCCAGTGCTAGCTCAGAAATGAAGCAGAAATGGATTTTGGGTAGCAACAAATGGTGAACTGCAAGGGTGGGCAGAGGGTGTGAGGCTGTAGATCTTTTGGAAGTTACATTTTCAACCCTCTGTCCTGAGCTCATACCTAAGAGGGCTAGTTATGATTCTTAGTAGTGAAAAAAAGCTCTCTGCATAGGCTCAGATGCACTTTATTCCTTTGCCTGTTTTATGGCTGAGCTCTAGTACTTAAATATATTCCAAATTGAAGCCCTGACTCAAATTAAACCCTGGAAGCCAGAAACTTTATGAAGAAGAAGTGATGTTTCTAGACAGTACGAGACATGCTGCCAACTGCAGGGAATTTCATTTTTAATTTTAATGTAGATCAAGGGTAGGATCCAGACACAGTCATACTTGGAGAAGACCCAGTGAAATTAATGGGACTTGTATTAGTCACCAGTCCATTGATTACAGTGTGTCTACTCTGACTAAATTTGGGTGCAAACCATTTATCTTCGAGTTTCCAGTTACCAGAAGCTGAAGCCAGTAAATTCTGTTGCATTGGTCAGAGAGCTAGAATGATAAAAGTTTATTCCTGTCACCAGCATTCGGTCCTCTCCCGAAAATTTGTTGATGTGATGACAAAGTACAATGAAGCACAGGTTGACTTCCGGGAACGGAGCAAAGGGAGGATCCAGCGGCAGCTTGAGATCAGTATGTATGCTCTTTGCTGAGTGAGCCTGGGGAGGCCAGGATCCTAAAGGACTGAAAGTTTGCTTTCGGGAGTGGAATTCTTCTGGCAGATGCATGACCTGCTCCTCAGGGCTTTCTGTTTACTATTGGTGTAACATTACTTCTCTGTTCTGGAGCAGCAACTGCTCAAAGTTCGTCTCTCTCAGAACCACCCTGACATTCCTTCACACTGACAACCATTCAGGTTTCTCTCCAGGGCCTAGCTCCAGTAGCTGCCATGACCCCGACCTCCTGGTTTCTGAGATTTCTCCTTGTGTTGCTCTTTCACCCCTGCCCTCTTGGATCTAAATGAACTCTTCCTGACTGCTGGAAAGGAAGTTAAGGTCTGGAAACTTTAGAAAATGAAACCTGAAATTCTCAAGCAGAATTAATAAATACGCTACTATTTATATTGGGCTTTTTCTGAATGCTTGAAATACCACATATACATTTCCTTGGCAGGCATTGCAACAGCCCTGGCATTTAGCTCAATTTCATTTCCAATTTCAGAGACCAGTAATTGTCTTTTTGTATTGTTATCACCATCACCATTTTGAAACAGCATCGGCAAGATTTTCTATGGTTTCCCTTTATGTGAAGAAAGAGAAACAACCCCCAAGAAATGATTTTTTTTCTGAAAAGTGTTGGGCCAATTAGTTTTTTTATTTTTAGGCACTTGAGAATGCTTTATCTCCTGCTTTTTAGCCTATAAATGTCTTCGCCATTTACTGTTGCATGTGGCATCATCACCAGCATTCATTCAAATGTGCTGGTAAATTGGCCATGATACAAAAATAGAATAAATTCAGCCATGTTATACGTGAGTGCAGTTTAGCTCGCTACAGGTAGAGATCTGACATTACAAGAGGATGCAGACTTGATGTGTCTGTTTTATTGTTAGCTGTTTGGGCAAGTTCTTCATTTAAAGCCTAGTACCATTCTGCACTTGAACACTCTGTTGTGATAACCACTGATGATCCACTGGCCCTGAGACTGGTGTGGCGGCAAAGTGGTGAAGTGAACACGACTACTGCATGGATGTAATCCCCTCTTTTCCCATCCCAGGAGTTCTTTTAGCTCACATGAAAATGTTGCAAACTTTGAAGGACTTGTTTTCTCCCTCCTTTTTCTTCCTGGGATGTAGCTGGGAAGAATACTACAGATGAGGAGCTGGAGGAGATGTTAGAAAGTGGGAATCCATCAATATTCACATCTGGGGTGAGTACTGTGATGTGGTGGTGGTGAAACCCATGGGGAAGAACCCTCTGCTCGGTTATTGAACTTGGGGTTGGAATGGGGAGAAAAAGTAGAAGTGGACGATCCTGGGTGCCCAGGACTATCTATGGATGACCAAGGGTTTGTTCTTAGGGGCACCAGGAATCATTGACTGAAGCAGCAAAATGGTAACTTGGGAAGCAAATGAAAAGGGAAAGAGAAGCTGGGATGGGGTGAGAGGGAGCCTGTGAAAACTGCAGTGCAATTCCTGGCAGCGTCCCCCAGGGGTGCTCAGCATGATTCATTTGCACATGACAATCTCTGGGCCTCTTCTAGATCATGGATTCCCAGATCTCAAAGCAGGCACTGAGTGAGATTGAAGGACGGCATAAGGACATTTTGCGGCTCGAAAGCAGCATCAAGGAGCTTCATGACATGTTTGTGGATATTGCCATGCTGGTAGAGAACCAGGTAACTCTGCTAAGGGAAGAAAGGAAAGGGGGAAGTCAGGGAACTCCCTGGGGAAGCTGAATGAAAACTAGAGGCCAAAAGAGGCGCTCCGGAGCTGGCTGCTCCTTAAGTCAGGCATGCAAAACCTCCCTTCCATTCTGAACTCTCAGGGCCACATTCCAGTGGCGGCTGGGGCCAAAGCCAAGCAGTGAATTTAAGCCCCGTCCCCCGAAATACTAACATGCTTAAAGCTTCTGCTTGCCTGTAACAAAGCCTTAGGAGAGGCACTTTCACCTGTTAGAGTCTGCACAAAACCTAGGAAACTCTCCGTGGTTGTGCAAAAGGGTTGGTAACATGGGGAGGGGGCATGGCCTTCCAGGAAGCCCCAGTGGGCTGGATAAGGGACCACAAGCTGGAGGTTCTGCACCGCTGCTCGAAACCAGAGACACGGGTGTGAACCTGTCAGAGCCGTTGCGCTGCCGAAGAATATCTCAGCCCAGGTCTAACGATAGATTGGAGGCCAGCACCATGTTTACAAATTCTTTCGGTCCCTTTCCTGTTCTTTCACTGTGGCTCAGTACCACAAACCCTCCTTACAACCAGGCTGCAACTGGAATGAGGGGGGAGCTGCCGGGTAGCCAGATGGTCACGAAGCTCTAACTGGGGCACCTCCTCGCATCCTGATGGTGGTGCTGGAGCTTTCCTACTTCTGTGCTTCTGGGTAACAGCCGCTTTCCTTCACGCTAGTATTGCTCAACTTCCTGGAAGGAGGGACACAGACCTAGGGGGTCCGCCTACCTGGCTGGAATTTCCTTTCATTAGGAAAGGAAAGAGCAGGTCTGCAACAGCCCCTGTACTGCCAGTATTACATAGAAGGGACACTGGTTTTAGCCCAATGAAACCCAAAACAGAGTGCCAAAAATTCAGAGAAGTCTCTCCAAAGGGAGGGCTTCTTGAGACCGACATTTATTGTACACTCGTGATGCTTTACTCACAATAATTTCTGGCAGGAGGGGCAGGTTATGTGATGCTTCCTCCTCCAGGGTCTCTACCAGGCTTTTCCAAATATTCCCCAGCATGAAGAAAGGCAGAATGGGGTGGGGACAGGATGACACCATCATCCACCAAAGTCACTTTGACACACAGTGCGGCCCCCCAACACGTGCTAATTCTGTACCGCTTGGTTAGCAGGGCCTTTGGCCTGATCCAGCAGGACACATTTTTCTTTCTTGGCTTCTGGCGGTGTGCAGAAAGAATTCTGGGTGGGGAAATGAGGGTGAATGCTGGTGCCGCAGTTCTCAAGAGACTGGGGCCAGAGAAAGTGCTAAAGGGTGCAGAAAAATTAATAGTGGATGTTTGAACGCCTTACAAACCTGTCTTTCTGGAGTTTTCTACGGCATGACCCTTCTAATTTAATAGAAGTATGGTTCCTAGGATAATTTGGGTTTTAATAACCTGACATAATAATTGGTGGGAGAATGAGTGACCGTAGCTTTTTAAAGCTATATAATGCAGGGCTAGTGTAGCCTGATGCAGCGCATGATTAAGGGAGCTTGGGCACGAGAGTTGAGATTGAGGGCACGCACCAAGTGGGTTGGGCTGCAGCGACCGTGCTGCTTGCTGTGTTCTCGACTGCCCTTCCTTCCTTTGAATTGTATATTGATAGACTAAAAGTATCCATGCATAGAATAGCCCTTTCCATGCATCACAACCCAGACCCTTGATCGCTGCCTCTCAGTTCTGGGGCAGAAATAGTCTGTTGAATAGTGTTTCTGCCTTGATGACAGTCTCTAAGGCCCCATTGTTTGTTTTCTGCTCACAATGCAATTCTGAGGAGGTGGCGTTCAGGTCAAACCATGGTGAGTGTTTCTTTCCAGAATTTAAACAGGGCTGTGGGGAGAGGGAGGGAGAGGGAATATGGCCTTGAGTGGACTTTTGTGGTTGATGATCTGTGGCAGATGCTTTGGACTACAATCCTATCATCCCTGCTGGTTGGGGCTGATGGGAGTTGAAGTCCATAATATGTGGAGGACACCAAGTTGAGGAAGGTCATTGGGTGGCCCTTCAGAGGGAGAGCGATGGTGGTAGAGGTGACAGCTTGGCTCTCTTGAAGGTTAGACAAGCTTCCAGGGAGGAGCTGCATGGGGGGGCAGGTGCTCTGCTGAAGTGCAGCAAAGGAGCTCTGGACAGTACAGAGCAAGGTGAGGTGGTCTTCCCCATATCAACAGGTTTTTCCTAACCTATTAATGTACTTCCCCTCTCTTCCCCCTTCTCCTAACTTTCATAGGGAGAAATTGTAGATAACATAGAACTCAACATGATGCACACCCTAGATCATATAGAGAAAGCTCGCGACGAGACCAAAAAGGCCATAAAATATAAGAGTAAGGCGCGCAAGGTGAGTCTTTCCTGTGGTCCGTGCACTATGTGCCTTCGGCTCACACTTTCTGCTCCTGCTTCTCTTCTGCTTCCGGCTTTCCTTCTCCTCCGCAAGGGAGCCATGATTGACCGCATAGAAAACAACATGGACCAGTCTGTAGGCTTTGTGGAGCGGGCTGTTGCGGACACCAAAAAAGCCGTCAAGTATCAGAGTGAAGCGCGAAGGGTGAGGAGACATCATCGCAGCCCACCCCATCCCGTTGCCTTCCAAGTTCCACTACCAATCTTGAACTCCTGAAAGCCCAATGGAAACCCTACACCTTTTGCCCTTCTCTGCTCCTTCTGCCAAAGTCCTGCATTCATTCTCTTTAGAAACCGATGTGTGTTTTTCCATCCCATCCACTTCCTGTTCTCCCTGCTCACCCCAGCCCTTGTGGCCTGCTCAAAACCCCACCTGGTTATGTAGTGAACTGTCTGATTAGTTAGCAATGTGTCATTAAGCATTGCTTTGGTTTCCAACCAGTTTGTAGGCACTGTTGGTTCCTCTCCTCCAGCATAAGGAAGGTCTCTTCTTTCACAGCTTACGTCTCCTCACAATCTCTTAAAAACTTTCATCTTGAAATCTTGATCTTTGAATGTTGATCTTCTTTAGTTTGCTATTACGTGCCTCCTCTACTTCTGGTCTGAGCTGTCCTTCCATTCTTTTATTGCATTGCATGCTAAGCTTTGTTCCTCTTTAAGGTGGGGCACTTCTGGGAGGGGGAGGGCTTCAGTGACCAAATTCAGGCCTGGAGATTCCCCAGCCCAGCTTTTTGAAAGGCAGATTTCAAAGTAGGAAAGATGCACACTGAATGTTTTGCAGCAGCTAAGGCAGGGTGGGTCACTTGTGGCCCTCCAGATGTTGTTGGATTGCAACTCCCATCATCCCTCACCATCAGCTATGCAGGCAAGGGCTGATGGAAGCTGCAGTCCAACAGCAAATGGAAGGGCCAGATGTAGGACACCCTTGTGCTAAAAGCAGAGGAGCTCTGCTAGGCAAAAAGGGCAAATCTGAGCGGGGTCTAAGCTAGGCGCTTGTTTTGGTGTCCTAGATTGAAGCAGCTGAGACCACCTTAATCCCAGATGCTTCCATTTGCTAAGGTCATTTTTATACTGCAGGAGAACTCACTCATTTGGGAGAAGTAGGGCAAAGAAACCTGATAGTTTTACTAAGTTGATCCAGAAATGGTCATGCTTTAAAATAAGACTGAAATAGTTCTACCTTCACACTGCTGCTTAATGGCAGGTCAGCATATTGTAACGGAATTTAAAAACTGGGCACCACATTTTAAGCCTGAATGATGAAACATGATGGTGGTGGTGGTGGTGGTTCTAGTGGTTCTACTAAAATCTGAGCTGACAGTTCCACTTGGTGGGATGGGATGGCAATGAAGGGAAAGGCCTGTTAATGACAGACTGCAAGCTTACCTGAAAGGGCAGCCTCACTGATTTTGTTTTTAGGACTTTGTGAATTAATGTCCACAGGACTGGGCTGCAGGTCCCACTTGAAGGGATTCATGCCCAAGTTAAAAATGGGATAAAGGCCTGTTTTCCTGTTTCAGGAGGAAAGGGAAATCATTGCATGCTTGGTTCTTATTTTGGTAGTATCCCAGGCAAGTTTCACATTATAATGAGGGTCAAAGTAGATGCAGTATTTGTCACAAGGAATTTTAAAAAAATAAATAGTTGGTACTGAATCTCCTGAGCTGGATCACAACCAGAGTATGGGGAGAGAGGCCTTTAACCCTTTGCTTTTCTGCAGTCCTTATTGGAATTGCTTCTGGCTATCTACAGTTCACAAGAATTCACAATGGGAGGAAAGCTGCCATTGGTACAGACGGAGCTTTCCTTCCATTGAGATCAGCAGGCAAAGGGGCTCTGGAGCAGAGGCCAGGCTCCAGCAGCCCCCCAGCCCATACATGCACACACCATGATCCTGATCCAGGACATCCCAGAGCCAAGTCTTATCCCAGGGCATACCAGGAATAAGCACAAGTCAAACACCGCATCTACTGTGGTCTTAGTCTTATAGGCACAAACCTTTGTAAGCAAGTAGTTAAATGAAAACTTCTTTGGCCAATTTAACTATTGGGCTCATTCACACATGCACATTCATCACTCCCTTAATCTATCCCTTGATGACTTGGACCTGCATGTGTGAATTTTTCCTTTGAATATGATGGTGTTTGAGGCTGTGTTGGGCCATACAAATGTGGAGTACTGTTTAGACCTTTAGTTGGGTGGCACATACAGCTCATTCCCCAGTGTAGGGACTCCACTGAGCAATGAGCTTGCAAACATCAGTCTGCCCTAAGCAGCACAAATTGAAGTGCTGTAGTTTAATCAGAAGCTGCCTATTTAATGTATGCACACCGTTTTCACCATTTGCTGTTACGTCATTATTTATTGCTAAATATTCCCTTTTCTTTTACTGTTCCAGAAAACAATAATTATCATTGTGATAGTGGTTGCCTTGCTGGGCATTATAGCTCTCATTATTGGACTTTCGGTAGGGCTGAAGTAAAAGCAGCCAGCAAGGCTGCTGGCTCTGAACTGTAAGTAGCTTTGGGAAGCAGAAAAGTTCTTCCAAATCTTCTCTGCCTTTTTAGGGTGATTTTAACTTTTCTTGCTATCTCCTCTGCTGCTTTGCTTTCAGAAGAACTTCAGAATATTACAGATCTGGGACTCAGGCTGATTTGATTTGTCTTATGGCAAAATCCAGAAATGCCCTAACCTGCACAAAGGAAAAAGTTGTTTACTGTGTGTTACCCACAGGGATTCTTCCCACAGTGTGTGGGGTGGGGCAGAGGCAGCTTCAGATCTTTTGACTAAATAGTGTGACCTGGTTGGGAAGCGGGCAGGAAGCCCATGATGGCCTGATTTCATATCAGTGTGATTTAACCGAATTTATTCTAGTGATTCTGGGAATAAAACTACCATAAAACCATTTGCCTTTTATTTTGGAGAGGATGAGATAGTGAATGGGCGAGGGGCAGGGGGAATCATAGGTGCTTTGATACAGAAGTAAACAAAATCAGCACTCAGCAAAATAAAATGATCAACATTAAATGAGAAATTAATTCTAAAAATGCTACCCAGTTCTGGAATTTTGAGCATGATGATGGTAACAATTTTACACAATCTCTGATTCTGGGATTGAAATGCTTCTTTTTGTCTCTGGCTTCTGTGCCGTATTATTGCACCTCTGCTTTTGAGCCTTTGCATCTTGATTGTTTCCTTTTGAACTTCTGAGAGGCTCAGGTATCCTGGAGCTAGAAAGTATGATCTCTTTTTTTAGGTCAAGTCTGTAAACCCAAACTTGTCCCTTCAGAGAAGAGACAACTGTGTAGTCCCAGCAATACTCATTCTGGGAGCTGGTGTTGGGTTTCGTGCTGCTTTTCTTCTGCAGCCATAGTGGCATGCAACCATGCTGCCAGGTTGCTAGTCCACCTGCCTGCTGTTCTGGGCATACAGTATACAAATCCACTCTGCTTGCAGTGCTGTGTTAACAGTACAGCCTGGCCTTCCTCAGATCCGATGGTGCTACAGGGCCACCCATAGAGGAGAATGCAGGAGTGCCTCTGCCTGAGGATACACTTAGCTCATCTGGGCCCCTGTAGATCCTGGAGAGCAGGTCAATGACACCTGCTGCTCCCAGATCCCTCTGTAGAGGGTGCCCTTCTCCCCACCCCAAGCACCTCACTCAGATGAACATTTGCAGCTTCTCAAACAGGTCTGCTCCCTCCTGATTGGCTGCTGGACCATTGCACTGGAGTTGGGAACTTGGTGCTCTGCAAGATGCCTTGGCCTGCAACTCCTATCTGCTCCAACCAGCATGGCCAGAGATGATGGGTATTGTAAGCCAAAAAGCTGGTGGGCACCAGGCCTCCCTCTACAATTGAGCTCCAGGTCTGATTGGGAAGGGTCTCATGAGCCTGTCTTGCCCTAAGCACATTGGGGGGTAAGGCAGGGGGGATGTCTCCTTTCTTGCCCTGCCATTCTATAGAGCTTTGATACGTACATTCCTGGTTGCTCATCCCATGAGGATTAACTTCTCCCACTGTGTTCCTTTCCTTCCTCCAGACACTCCCAAGCTCTTCCTGGGTTGGTCGCAAGACTTCCCTTCCTGATCCTCACCACCACAGTGTGACCTTTCCCTGCCTACCCTCCAGCCTGGCCTCTTGGATTCAGTATGAAAGGACGAGTTCTCTTGCACCAGTGAATCCTGTGAGAATGCCATGCTGTTCTAATTCATTCCTTGGACAAACTTGTGTAGCAAGAAGACTCAGTTGTATCTCGCTTCATCCAGGAAGTCCAGAGATCACAGGGTGCTCCAGAGAGAACGTCCCATCAGATCGGCTCCTTACCCATCCCTTCCTTCCTTTCCACTATACCTGCTGCCTCTAATTCAAGCATTTCCTGTTTTTTAAGTCCACATCCTTCAGGATTTTTCTACAGTACAGTGGAATGAACCCTAAACAGAACTTTGGAGTCACTGTTGCCTACCTCACTACCTTGTTTTCAGTTTTCTCTTCAAATCTGCCAGGACTTAAGAAGCGTCTGCTGCATAACTCCTGACCACCATCCCTTTGTATACTGAGGTTGAATGACAAATGAGGTGGATGTTTCAACTCCTACAGTTTACAGGACACAAATCTTAGCACACTAGAAGTCCCTCAGTGCAACTTGTCCTGCCAGCCCCAAAGAGAGATTAAGTACGAGGCATGATAACACATGCTTAATAGTGCCAAGCTACTAGATAGGGCTTGCAGTCACCTAAGGCAGTTTCATGGAGGTCAAGCAGGTCAGGCCCAAATACCAAAGTAGGCAGGCCAGGGTTGCCAAATCGGGCTGACAGTTGCATGCTGCAGGGGACGTGGCCATTAGTATTTGAGCCTCCCAGTTCTAAACTACTCGGGTTCCATCAGCTTAGCTCAGAGGAGAGGGCATTGCAGTGAGGATTCCACGCTGTGTGTGCCAAGAACTGGAAAGTTGCACTCTGCTGTCTGCAGATAAAGGCACTCCTTGCAGATATGTTTTGTCTGTTTATTAGATAGCCCATTACACTTGTTTGGGATGTAACTGAATTTGAGTGGCGTAAAATGCAGTTATGTCCTGCCTGCATTTAATTTTGCATGAGTGTCTGTGCTTGAAGGCATAGTTGTATGTCAGTTCTCCCCTGATACATAATTACCTGTGTGTGTGTATAGATCTTTGGCTGAGGATTGAAGAATTATGAAGAATCAAAGGCTTTGCTTGCTTTGACTTGTTTTATGTTACAGGGATGGGTATTACTGAGGATTTCTATCCTGTTTGAGTATCCATATTGTACCTACCACCCAGAATTAAATGTGTATAATCTGACTATCAGGTTTACAGGACAAGAAAACATATACAGAAACACAGGACTGTTTGATCAGGCATGGTAGATAGATATGTGCCTTCCTAATACGGAAACTCTAACCAGAGAAGACCTTACTGTTAGATAAAAGACTCCATCTTATTACAGGTGGAGTTGTTTCATCTCTCTCTTAGAGAGGCCTTCCCCAACCTCGTAGCCTCCAAATGTTTTGGACTACAACTCTGATTCCAATCACCCCTGGTCAAACTGGATAGGCAATTTAGAGTCCAAGACCTCTGGAGATCACAATGTTGGGCAATACTGTTTACTTTTAGCAGTCTAGTTTTAGTGACTTGTGTTCTTTTGTGATTAAAAATTCCACTCAAGTTTTGATGCTTCCAATCATGGGCTTTACTTTTCTTAGGATGATAAACATTTGCTAATATTACACCTTGTAAGTTCTTTGGCTGTCTCACTGCTTTGTTTTCAGCCATAACAGTGTCCTCCACTAAGTGTCACTCACAGAAATTGAGGCAGATGTGTATTTGTGAATAAAGTTAAAAAGAATTTGCCTAGGAAAACACCAGGAAGAAGCATCTTTCATTGACACCACCCATAATACAAGAGGAGAGTATAAGGTCTTTCCCTGACATCTAAGCAGTGTTGCCTTCAGCATCATTAGATTCACTGCATGGAACTGAACTTGCAGACTTAAGAGGACCAGATACATCATTTCCTTCAGAGCGATATCTTCCTAGAGCTGATGGTTGGTGAAGTTACAGGAGAACGATTCCTATGACAGAGGGCAATAGCTTCTGGCAGTAATGTTTCCATTAAAACTCAGGGGAATGCTGTACCCAAGGTTCTATATTTATACATATTGATTGGGGTGCCAGGTTTAGGTGTATTTCCCATGGAAGACAATACCAGTTTCATTGGAATTGTTTCCTGGAGATAATCACCTCCTAGTCACTAGCAAAATATGGCTAGTTTGCCTACTTCTTCAATAGCTGTACTATTAAAATCCACCCAGTATCTGGGTTGCCTTTTCATGATGCTGCAGGTACCCTGACCTGTGATGCTTTCTCTGTAAAATGCGAACAGGTGCTGCTGGCAACAGCATTTGCATGGATCTCCTCCATGTGCAAGCAGACGGAGCTAAGAGGGGGGAACCTGCACTAATGTCCTTCCTTCTAGGCCTTGAGGTCTGTGACTTGTAAGTGGTAGTTGAGAGGATGGTGGAATGACCGCCTGTAAAAGCAAAAGACTGTCAGAAGGCTGAGCTGCCTATGGAGAGCAGAGGTCCTAGGAAAGCGATTGTGTCTGTTTTTTAAAAGTTGATTTTAAAATGTAAAAATAAATGAACGTATTTGAAGATGCAATCGTAACTTCTGTTGTAGTCTGTTGAACGTACGGACTAGATATAGCTGTATAAGCAGTTCCACTTGCTGGGGCGGGAGCATATGCTTTCTTGGCTTTGTCTAGCCCATATCTGTACCAGGTATATATATATATGCTTCTGCACAACACCTTGCAATAAGCCAGGATATGGGAGATTGCTATTATGAATACAGAAGGACTGAGGAACTGCTTTTAATCACATCTGGAACACCAAGCCTGGTGGGGTATGTTGCCTCATCATTAAGCCAGATCCTGGAGATAAGATATTTAATGGTGGTACTTTCATGACTTGCTCTTCAAGAATGCTAGATGGGGATGTACCAAACCAGGGAAATCTGGCTTGTTTTTGCTGAGAATTCCCAACCCATGGCCTGTCTGAGGGACTGGAAACAGCTGAGGCTCCCCCCACAGCCTTCCATCTACAAGATGGACCACAATTTGCATATTCTTTTGAAACCACCAGTGGAATTTATGGTAACGAGCACTGATGCAGTTTTAAAGGGACTTGCACAAGCCATGTTTTTCAGGTGTAGCTTTTGTATAAAACAGCACCCAGAAGACATGTAGCTTAGCAAGATTTGCACAAGTCTAACTAATCCACATTTTCCAGGTGCCATTTTGTGCAAAAATGGCCCATTTCGTACAAAACAGCACCTGGAAAATAAATGGGTTAGTGCAGTATATACAAATTGTACAAGTCCCAGTAAAACAATGTTTTTTCAACTGGTTTCTATAAATGTCATTGGTCATTTAAGAAAATGCAAATCACAGTTCATCTTGTAGACATAAGTCTGCAAGATACCTCAACTTGCTCCACAGCAAGTCAGAACAAGAGCATGGGCAGCAAACCAGAATCTGGGGATTGAAATGGAAGAGACCAAATGGATTTCTACCCTACCCCAAACTGATTCTTCACCTGTCTCTATGCTAGCATCTACATAAATGCTTTAACACTGTTCAGGACCCAGAATAAAACTAGGTGCTTTGATAAGTGCTGCCAGGCTTTGATAAGTGCTGCCAGACCTATTCCCTTGATTTAGAAAATTTCACTAAACGTCAGTGTAATTCACAACTGTGAAAGAACAGTCCATAACACCCTCTAGCTCTTTTGTATTATTTCCTAAGTGTCCTATTTTCTGATCCCACCCGGTTCCCATGATCTTTCCTCTTTCCTCTCACTCCTGTTACCAGCTCTATTCCATTCTAATGGAATATATCTCTGTATATTACTATTCATTTTCCCTCTTACTGAGCAGAAGAAGATTATGATCATGATATGCTGCATCATTCTTGCCATCATCCTGGCCTCTACTGTTGGGAGCTTTTTTACCTGAGTACTGTTCCCTGTCCCCCATCACTTGCCTCAGGTGAGTAATTTGTGGATACAGAAACCTGATTTGGTGTTGATTTTCTTAATCAGAGTAGCTTTGGTCCATTCTGAAACACTGCATTCTGTTATACTCCTATATTCCAATTGGAGTACCACAGATTTAGCTAAGGTGCTGCAGAATGGTGTACTAGAAAGCCCTCCGAATTTTAAGACTTGGAAGAGATGGGGGAAAGAGCCATCAATCTTAGATATAAGATGATGCAAGCCGGCTTGCTGAGGTCAAGTAACAGATAAGCCAAGGTCTGTAAGCATGTAGATGAGGGAGCACTCTGCTTAACTCAGAGTGAAGAGAATGTCCATTGTTCAGGATAACAGCCTCATGGAATCCTTGGTGGTTATTGTTAGAATAGATTGCCACTTGCAATCTTTGCTTCTGCTCAGGTCTTTGCTTTTTCTTTTTTCCAGGATGGATTTTTCTTTCATACTTCCCTTGGTCCTATGATCTTCAGTGCTTCCTCTCTTGCTGGAGATGTTACAGCCAACCATTTACCTTTCAAAAGGTGTTAGTCGGATTCCAGGAGTGAAACAAAAGCACGAGGAACTAGAACAGGGCCCAAGCTTAGAACACTGGTGTGAAGCCATATACAAGTTGGTATGAATGTTACTAGAGTAAAGGGGCCTTGTTCTTAGCTTCTTCCCACAGCCATGTTTTTATTGATTTGACTTTACTCCTAATTATGCTGGCTCTTTCTGCCCAATGAATAATTTCTGCACTGAAATGAAGTACTTGGAAGACCTCTTCTTAACTACTTTGGGTATCTCTGGAAGAAAAATCGCAAGGCACCACCCACCTTATTCTATCGTCTGCAATTATTCTAAAGAGGTGTGGGATGCTGGGTATTCCTGCTTATGAATTAGAGAATCCTATCCCCTCCAGCCATGCTTTCTTTTTTTCCTGTTCACACAGTCAATGCCCCCCTTACATTTTATGATTGGCCTTCTGTATAAAGTACCAGCTCAGGGTACCCAGTTGGTCCCACCTGCCCAACTATATCAGACTGTTCCTAGCCTATTTCTTCTATAAGAGAATGGGAATTCTTGAGGCAGAAGTGGCTGGCACTCATAACAGATCCATGACCCTCTTGTATTCTGAGGCATTTTGACACTAGTTGTATTAACATGTATATAGGTGTGTCCCACAATGCCTCAACATATTTCTCATATCCTGGAAGAAAGCTTGTCATTTATTTAAAAACTTAAGATGTACTTGCAAAAGAGTATGTGGCTCCCTCCCTTTATTCACCTCCCTCCTAGGGATGTGGCTAGAACATTTTTATTCCTTTAAGTTTGGCATAATTGTATTTCATTAGCTCCTCCTCCAGCTGGAGAAAAACTTCAGGTTGCTTCCCTTTTAAACAAAAGCCAATTATTAAGCAAAGAAGGGGAGATCTCTGCAACTGCATGATAACCTACACTTGCAAAAATTTTAAGACTCATCAATGGTAATGTATGTGATGAACCACAGGGAGCTTCATGCTGGAGAGAAAAACTTACTTTCTCTTGCCAGTGGCTTGTGTAAGATGATCTGCCTAAAAACATGAATGTTAATAGAACATTCCTCCTGAATAAAGAGAATGGTTGTCTGACTGACTGATTTGGTGTCATGGATGATGCACTAAGAAAAATATGGAACTGCTCAGATACGGTGATGTGTGAAAACCTGTTATTCTAGCAGACATGGGCAACCTCTAGCCCTCCAGCTGTTTTGGCTTCACCAGTGTAGCCAGTAGTGAGGGAAAAGGGGTGCTGTAAACCAGAATATCTCAAGAATCGCAAGCTGCCCACCTCTGTTTCAGCAGGAGGAATCCCCTGACAGAAGCTAAAAATACTTAAGGCTTCTTTCTGGATCAACCCAAAATAATGGAACAAATGCCTTTGTGGAGCTATAAATATCCTTTCTCCACCTGTACCTGTTCAAGCTGTTACTCCATACATCCCCTATATTTGCAAGAAGTTAATGTTCTTCTATGTCTTTCCTTGGCAGTGTTGGCAATATATGTGCAAAATTTAGCCTCAGACATAAACAAGTTAGTCACAGATGGCAAATCTCCACAACTTGTTATCACACAAGCACTTTAAAACACTACTATTTTAAAACAAGCTAAAGGAAAGAACTCCTTCATGGATCACTGCCTTGCCGTGGTGAAGGGGCCTGTGTAACTCAATGAAGCTATGAGCTATGCCGTGCAGGGCCACCCAAGACGGACAGATCATAGCAGAGAGCTCTGACAAAACGTGATCCACTGGAGAAGGAAATGGCAACCCACTCCAGTATCTCTGCCATGAAAACCCCATGGACAATACCAAAAGGCAAAAAGATATGATGCCAGAAGATGAGCCCCTCAGGTCGGAAGGTGTCCAATATGCTACTGGGGAAGAGCGGAGGGCTAGTACTAGTAGCGCCAGAAAGAATGAAGCGACTGGGTCAAAGCCGAAAGGACACTCAGTTGCAAATGTATCTGGTGGTGAGTCCAATGCTGCAAAGATCTATACTCCATAGGAACCTGGAATGTAAGATCCATGAATCAAGGCAAGCTGGATGTGGTCAAACAAGAGATGACAAGACTGAACATCGACATCTTAGGAATCAGTGAACTAAAATGGATAGGAATGGGTGAATTTAATTCAGATGACCATCAGGTACACTACTGCAGGCAAGAATCTCTCAGAAGAAATGGAGTAGCCTTCATAGTCAATAAAAGAGTAGGAAAAGCAGTACTGGGATACATCCTCCAAAATGACAGAATGATCTTAGTTCGAATCCAAGGAAAACCATTCAACATCACAATAGTCCAAGTCTATGCCCCATCCACTGGTGCTGAAGATGTTGAAGTTGACCAGTTCTCTGAAGGCCTACAACACCTTCTAGAATTAACACCAAAAAATGATGTCCTTATCATCATGGGGGATTGGAATGCTAAAGTAGGAAGCCAAAAGATAACTGGAATAACAGGCAAGTTTGGCCTTGGAGTACAAAATGAAGCAGGGCACAGGAGGGTAGAATTTTGTCAAGAGAATATGATGGTCATAGCAAACACTCTTTTCCAACAACCCAAGAGACGACTCTACACATGGACATCGCCAGACGGTCAACACAGAAATCAGATTGACTATGTGCTCTGCAGCCAAAGATGGAGAAGCTCTATACAGTCAGTAAAAACTAGACCAGGAGCTGACTGTGGCTCAGATCATGAGCTTCTTGTTGCAAAATTTAGGCTTAAATTGAAGGAAGTAGGGAAAAGCACTAGGCCACTCAGGTATGACCTAAATCATATCCCTGATGAATATACAGTAGAGGTGACAAATAGATTTAAGGAATTAGATCTGATAGACAGAGTGCCTGAAGAACTATGGACGGAGGTTCGCAACATTGTACAAGAGGTAGCAACTAAAGCCATCCCAAAGAAAAAGAAATTCAAGAAAGCAAAATGGCTGTCTGAGGAAGCTTTACAAATAGCCAAGGAAAGAAGGGAAGCAAAAGGCAAGGGAGAAAAGGAAAGATACACCCAATTGAATGCAGAATTCCAGAGAATAGGAGAGATAAGAATGCCTTCTTAAATGAACAGTGCAAAGAAATATAAGAAAGCAATAGAATAGGGAGGACCAGAGATCTCTTCAAGAAAATTGGAGATATGAAGGGAACGTTTCATGCACAGATGGGCATGATAAAGGACCAAAATGGCAGGGACCTAACAGAGGCAGAAGAGATTAAGAAGAGATGGCAAGATTGCACAGAAGAACTATACAAGAAAGAGCTTAACGTTCCTGATAACCACGATGGGGTGATCACTGACCTCTAGCCAGACATCCTGGAATGTGAAATCAAATGGGCTTTAGGAAGTCTGAGCAACAACAAAGTAGTGGAGGAGATAGTATTCCAGCTGAGCTATTCAAAATCTTAAAAGATGATGCAGTGAAAGTGCTACACCCAATATACCAGCAAATTTGGAAAACTCAACAGTGGCCACAGGATTGGAAAAGGTCAGTTTACATTCCGATCCAAAAGAAGGGCAATGCCACAGAATGTTCAAACTACCGCACCATTGCACTCATTTCACATGCTAGCAAAGTGATGCTCAAAATCCTGCAAGCTAGGCTCCAGCAGTATGTGAACCGAGAACTACCAGAAGTACAGGCAGGATTTCAAAGAGGCAGAGGAAGTAGAGATCAAATTGCCAACATACGCTGGATCATGGAGAAAGCTAGGGAGTTCCAGAAAAACATCTACTTCTGCTTCATTGACTATGCTAAAGCCTTTGATTGTGTGGATCACAACCAATTGTGGCAAGTTCTTAAACAGATGGGAGTACCAGACCATCTTATCTGTCTCTTGAGAAACCTATATGCAGGTCAAGAAGCAACAGTGAGAACTGGACACGGAACCACTGATTGGTTCAAAATTGAGAA